CTCAGTGCTCAGTGTTGTGGGAAGCTGTGAACGTGACAGGCCTTGGTTCTCCTTCTCCAGGAGGCTTGTTGAACAGGTAATAAAATGTAGTCACATTCCTCACCAAGTGCAAATACCTGTCAGCAAAGGGTGAGGAAGATAAATTAGTTGAGATAGTTCATGAAAATGACTACTATGCTAACTTGGGACGCCTTAAGCAGGTTAAAGTTTACCCACCATAAATTTTTATTCTTACCTAGCAACTTGCTTGAACTAATTTCACATGTTTTCCCTACAAAATGTGTCAAAATCTCCCAGATGTGTTCAGTCCCACAGTAACCAACTCCATTCAGGCAACTGCCAAGTGGTCTGGTCTCAACACAGAGAGGGATGCCTTTGAGTTACTGAGTCTGTCCAGGGAGAAGTCGACTTGCTATTTCTAGTGACCAGGAGGAGAAACAGGACTTGAGCACCTCTGGGGGTTGAACCAGACGAGGCAGAGAAAACAACCACTGTCCCCCACACCCACTTGCAGCCCTGATTTCCGGCAGGAGAAATCACTTATAGATCCACCAGTAGGTGGAATATGGGTTATGGCCATATCCATTAGGGCTTATATTACAAAGAATCATAAAACCAATAAAGCCTTTCTTCCTTTCTATCCTCTGCTTAACTTCCCTGTTCAATATTATTACCATTTCAATGCTCCTCCCCCCCTCAACCAGTTCTTGCTTTCCTGGCTTTGACATACATGGTTAACTCCCCTGGACCTGTGAGTCACTTCACATACTGTCCTTCATTGCCCCATCTTGTACCTCTCTGGCCCCTGCTCCCTCTGCTTCAGCACCAGTGGCTTCTTTCAAGTCATAACACTCACTTCTGCCACAGGATCTGTGCTCCTGAACCTGGGGATTTAATTAAGAACAAAGAAAAAGAGTATTTTGCAGGGTTTGGAGTAAGGGAATGAAATGCTTCCTGGTAGCATTTCAGGCAACAGATAAATCCCTAATGCGGACTTGCCTGGAGCCACAGATGGGAGTTTATACTGTTTGCTTTCCCTCCTCACAGCTAGGGTGAGCTCCAACATGACCCCATGAACAGATGAGCAAAAGCACCAAAGCCAGACATCAGTATGGTCTTGAGAGTGTCCACTCATCCTTCTAGCATTGAAACTCTCTTATCTTAAGAAATGCATAACTCGGTGCTAAGCTTGGAAAATGCCTTGACACAGCCTGGGGCCTACATTACAGAAAACAAATCTCTTTCCTTCATCAGAGTTACTCAATAGCAAGGCACAGTATTTCCGCTCTTGTGGGTAGGAATTAGGCAAATCGGTCTTATACTCAGGACCGGTTTATGCTTTAGCAGAAGGCCAGTAATGCTAAAATACGGAAGCTTAACCTCCTGTGTCAGTGGATATTGGGCCTGGATGTAGGGAGCTCCTTAAGAGATTTTATAAGTTGGAAGAAAAATACATACACACCATAATTACACATATGCCATTACAATAAGAAAACTCCAAAGTGAAGATTGAAACATTTAAGGAGACTTTAATGTTAATTATGTTTAATTTTTAGAGAAAAAAGAGGCTCACACATTTAAGTAAGGAATAAGCAAAAATTTGTATGGTCAGCAGAAATTTCTTAAATACACCATTCTCTTCTAAGGGCAACCGTGCTGTTTTCCCAAGTGTCCATCAGCGGTCTCTCTTTTGTCCCACTTCTTCCTATAGCCAGTTTCTCAGTGAGACTTTTGCCTGGTTCCCTTGCATACGCCCCAGTAATGGAGATGATCCGATTAGGTCTATTAGTAGGACTAAGTTCAAGATTCTATAGAAGAAATAAAGAAAATTGGCTCCCATTTCCCTTTTGGCATCCTAACCATCTGGCGTTTCCATTGCTTTGCAATTGCAGAGAAAACCTTCAGGGAAGGGGTTATCATGTGCCCTTGGGATTCACACTCCTGGCACCACAGGTATGCCTATGGCACCAGCAGCTAAGCAGGAAAGAGCTCTTGCACATTCATTAACCCCCTTCAGAGACACAGCTACATGTGTGTCCAGGTTGATGCTCTGCTTCATGTTTCATAGTAAGCATCCATCCAGAGGGCTGCAGATTTCTTCAAGGCCCTGTGGGAGAGGTAAACAAAATCATCAGTGGGTGAGACTTTAATGTAAGAGGAGCTGCTCCATGGAACATGTGCACTTTTGCTTGGTTCAAGGCAATGTTTTCATTTTCAGATAAATCTGAAAGACGTCTTTTCTGTTGTCCAGTGGAGGTAGTCAAATATACTGCATTGATTTTTAGCAGATGAATTCACCTTTTCTTTAGGGGGGAGGTTGAGTTTTTCTTTCATTTTATTCTCTTTTGTGTCCCAAACCATTAACTATCCTCTTCTCTAGCATTAAAAACAAACTTCTCTGAGTCTCTCTATAAGATAATGCATATACCTCTCTGCCAACTCATCCTGTTTTCTACCCACCATCATGCTTTATAATGTGAAAGATGTTTTTCTACGCTCTGGGGATACAGCAGTGAGTAGGAGAGACATGAGACCGACCTACATGGAGTTTCTGGTTTGGTTTGGGAGACATATATATCTAGATACACATAGACACATGTGTCTATGTATATATATATATATTTTTATTTTAATTTATTGTCAAATTTGTTATCATAAATCTGTAAAATGTGCTCTTGGCTTTTGGGGTAGTTTCCCGTGGTTCATCGCTTACATTTAACACCCAGGGTTCATCCCAACAAGTGCCCTCCTCAATGCCCATCACCCATTTTCCCCTCTGGGGAGACATTTATTAAATAATTTATTACCCACAATGTTATTTAATCATGATTGTGATAAAGGTAAAGTGAAGAGAAGTAGGTGCTGCAAGAGCAGGTGACAGATTGAGTCCTGGGGTCAAGGGAAGACCAAGATGAGGAAAAGGCATTTATGAATCTTGGGGAAGGGATGGAAATTGACAAGGTGATGTGAGGGGAGGGGGCAGACTGGAAGAACATTCTAGACAAAAGCCAAGGGGCAAAGGACAGACAATGGCAAGGGGCAGGAAGTTCTGTAGCAACTGAAGAGAGATTAGGTCTCTGGAGGACAGAAAAGGAAGATGGGAGCGGTGGAGAGTCTGAAGCTGGAGAACCATCCAGGGGCAGATCAGGCCAGATCTGATCTTGTTGGCATCATTCAAGACACTGGTATTTTGTTTTCCTAATTCTAAAAGAAAGAGAAACTTATTAAACCCAGATCATGGGCTGTTAATGTTCTCTAGGGGACTGTGAATGCACCACGATGAGCACAGATTTTCAGTTCCTGCAGGATTCTCTGCTCTTGGTCGGTTCCCCTACCCCCCAACCCACACACTTATGTCCCTGGACCCTGTAGGCATCTAAGTTTGCAACTCTGGGCCAGATGATTTGAAAGTCCCTCCCCGCACATAAATTCTAAACCATGTCCAGGTTCTGTGGGGGATTCAAAGACAACACACAGTCCTGGTTTTAAGAAGCTTGAGGTTTAGTAGGGTAGTGAGACATTTTCACTAAGAAGTGTCTCGAAGGCAGTAGGTAAATGGTAAGAATTATTTATTATAATTGCATTGTTGATGTTTCCTAAAGGGTCTCATGTCCATGCTGGACATACAGATGCCCCTTAACAAAGAGTTGTTGGGTAAATGATTCACAAGCCAGTGAATAGTCTGGGGACTAGCAGTGAGAGGGAAATGAGAGCTGTGAGCTGAGAGACTCTGTAATTACCTGACAATATCTCCAAAAGCTTCCAACATGGGCTTATTCACATACTGTAATCCATGCTTCGCACACAGTGACCTCACCAGGGGTGCCACCTTGTGATAATTATGGCGTGGCATTGTGGGAAACAGACTAGGGAAACAGAAACAGGAGATATAAAACTTAGATCAAAAGAAGAAGTTTTTGTTCCCCTATTACTAGATAAAACTCCATTAGCAATGTAGACGTTGTACAATACTTCTCTAGAAAGTTCAAAAACTCTTGCCAAAGCATTCTAATCTTATCTCTTAACCCTCTGCATGCCCTGTGGGTGGCTAATGTTTGGGAAGACCAAAGAGACTTACCTCTATAAAATATATTTATTCTGAGACAGGTGAAATGAAAGTATGGGGTTTTCTACCATTTTGAATTACCTGGAGAGCTGGAGATAACTTCCCCAACCCCAATTCTGTCTCTGTCTCTTTCTGTATATACATATATCTCCTGCACAATGAATAGGTGAATATTAGTAAGTTTTAATCAAGGCATATGGGGAAAAGTGCTAGGAGAAAAGTAAGAAGAGAGATGGGTTTTATCCAAGGCTTTCGCTAACTAGCCAGATGAACTTCTTGGGTTTTAACCTTCTCTTTGATGAAATATGAATAATAATCTTTCTTGTTTTGCTGAGATTTTAAAGGACTAACAAGAGAAAGGATAAGAAAATCCCATGAGTAGGTATAAGATGTTTTTCCTTCTCTGCCTATCATAGATTTGGCTTAGATGAAATGAATGTGGAAAGCCTCTTCCTTGAATATTCTGGAGAGATTGACTTTCAAAGTATTATCATTTCCTCTTTCTTTGGTGCCTATCTAACTGCCTATTGGTAAAGTATTTCCAGATATCACTTGGAAATTGCAGTAGGAACTGGATTTCATTGTTGATTATTTTAAACCTCAGCTCCAAAGATGTAGATACAGATTAATATTCAAATTAAATCTTAATTAAGTTTCAACACAACTCGGATACACAAATGTCATGATTTTTCTTGGGTTTTGCCAACAAACCACATGTAAAAAAACAATCACGAATTCCTAAGTCCTTAGGAATCCAGAAACTGAGTCTTTGGTATTTTTTCAAGATCTTCCTCCATTTACTCACAATTGTTACACCTCCTTTCTTTCTTCCTTTCCTTACCATTGATGTTAATAGAATTGAGAGAATTCTGATTCATTTTTTCCATCAGAAATCCCGAGTCTAAGGCTTGCTCTGGACTGTATGGGGGTGGGGGTGGGGACTGTTATAAGTTACAGCCTTTGCCTTTTATCATGAACTGTTTCCATCACTTACTGGTGCTCGATCTGAAAGTTCAGGTGCCCAGTGAACCAGTCATTGAAAATGGACTGTTCAGCATTACAGGTGGTCAAGACCTGCAAAGAAAAAGGTCACATTAGATGTAAGTAAGCCCAAGTGTCAAAGGAGATGTTTATTTATTCCCCAGGTGCCCGGGTGGTTCAGTCGTTAAGCATCTGGCTTTGGCTCAGGTCATGCTCTCACAGTTCATGAGTTGGAATCCCACATTGTGTGAGCTTGAACCCCACTTCGGGTGAGCATGAGTTCCGCTTGAGTGGCCCCCGCTTCTCTCTCTCTTTCTCTCCCTCTCTCTCTCCTTCTCTTTCTCTCCCTCTCTCTCCCTCTGCTCCTCCTGGGATTCTGTCTCTTTCTGCCCCTCCCTCACTTGTGACCTCTCTCTCTTTCAAAAAAAAAAAAAAAAAGATGTATATTCCCTTAATAAGCTAATTGTTCAACAAGTTCCTATTTTGTGTAAGAAACTAAGAGGGATATAAAAGATACACAGTGCCAGGTCTCAAGGAAATTATAATTTAAAAAGGTGCTAAGATATTTTGCTAAGACGTTTATACAAAGCAACAGATATAAAGATGTATGTAGGATTTGAAGGGGCTAAGTCACCATCAGCCCTTGGATACAGAAGGCTAAAGTGTCATAAATGAGGACTCTGGCAGACGGGAAGTGGGATTATAGGATTTTGGTAGAGATTGTTGAGGTTAGAATGCCATTTCCATAGGGTACATATGAAGGACTTCTAAATGGGAAGTGAGGCATTCAATTGTTCCAGCCACAGATTCTGAGCATAGAAGTGCATTTCAGTTTAAGCAGTTTCCTTTACAATCTAATGTATTTTATTTTATGAACTTAAAACCATTATCCTGAGAAGGAGTTCATGGGCTTCTCCAGACTTTCAAAATTAAGAACCCTTATGAATATCATTTTATTAAGTGCCTTTTTTATTATTATTATGAAATTTATTGTCAAATTGGTTTCCATACAACATCCAGTGCTCATCCCAACAGGTGCCCTCCTCAATACCCATCACCCACCCTCCCCTCCCTCCCACCCCCCATAAACCCTCAGTTTGTTCTCAGTTTTTAGGAGTCTCTTATGTTTTGGCTCCCTCCCTCTCTAACCATTGTTTTTTCTTCCTCTTCCCCGTGGTCTTCTGTTAAGTTTCTCAGGATCCACATAGGAGTGAAAACATATGGAATCTGTCCTTCTCTGTATGACTTATTTCACTTAGCATCACACTCTCCAGTTCCATCCAAGTTGCTGCAAAAGGCCATATTGCATTCTTTCTCA